ATGGCCTAGGTTTTGAAATGAAATGAACAGTGCTTGAATTTCACTAAGGCTGTATTGAATGCTCAGAAGCAAAAGTAAGTAATAGTAAATCTCCACCGACTAGACTAAAGTATGCTGACGACTTTCAACAGCTTTCAAGCTAATCTGAAAAGAACATCTTTTACGATAGAATTTATGATACAAAAGTAATGTAATTTTAGCAAATAAAAATAAGTATTAATATGAATAACAAGTTTTTCCATGATGGAATTCTATCCACTCAGTGTCAAATCAAAACACTTTATGTGAAGACAGCTAATTAAATGGTTAATTAGCATTTTACCTGAACTACACATAACTTCTGGTATCTTTGTTAAGATTGATCAAAATACACAACTTTAAATTCCAAACAAAAGAACCAATTTTCAACTTGGAGAAAATTTGCTCAGTGGTTATATATGGCAGAAATTTGCTCATTTTTACATTAACCTTAAAAACTGGATGTAGAACAATATTGTTAAATTCTGTATAAAAGCCATACAAACTGTCGATTTTGACCATAAATTAATCTATTCATTTCATCTATTATAATTGTCATGTCTAATTTGACACTGTCGACAAGTAATTTGTATCTTCACTAATACACTATTATAAATACCAGCTCTGTATTTTAAAATTTGTATTATGAGCATTCTAATCTAACAATAGGATACGTAAAATTTAATTTAATTTCAAACTGGAGTAAACAGACAGGTATTTAACAGTACTGAACTTTAGTCACTTCATACTTATATGACATTTAACCACTGTACCTGATTACTTTTGTTGAAAAAATATTATAATGAACAATCATTTATTATTTAGTTCTTACATAAAGTATATTTCATTGAATTTACATAACGATGTACGTTTTTAATGTACATACTACATCATAGTAATACTTCAAAAAAATAAATTATTGCAATGGGTTTTGTGGAGATTTTAGAAATTTCACTGAGTGGAATCATGAGTCAATCGAAGCTAGACCATCATGGAAAACCTGGAAGCACTGGATGACTGTTTCATCCTAATATGGGACTCCTCAGCAGTACGCATTCACGATCCCTCACCCCACCAGATTCGAACCTAGGACCTATCAGTCTCGCATCAGGCGCTTAACCAACTAAACCACTGAGCCGGCATAAATAAATTATTACTTCCTTCAGATAAAATGCTTTTGAAGTGGAAAGTTTATTACAAATATAGATTCTTCAAATTCTATTATTCCTTGAATGATCAAGCATAAAATCAAATAATATAAATGAATAAGTAGTCTAGAATTACTTACCTAACATTTGTAGATTTTTGGTTGAGTCTGTATGAAAACTAATGTTGTATTATTGATAGGAATATGTAAATTCCGGTAATGCAATGAGAAGACGAAGTTTATCAGAATTATGTTGATAAACTTCGTCTTCTCACTGCATTATCGAAATTTATCAAAGGGACTAAGTGTTTTAAACATGTAAATTCTTAAGAAAACCTAGTAGATGTTCTTTTCTATAGTGAAAAATTGACGCTTAATTGAAGAATAATCGCGATGAACAAATTTCAAAGCAGTTTATTATAATAATTCAAATCATCTTTCTTATAAAGTGAATTTTATAGGTTAAGAAAATGTAAGAAATTAGAAGTTTAGTTGGCATTATGTAACTGACAGTTATTCATTTACATAACAGACAAAAGGAGATTTTGATTTTTATGTGAACAAGGCATCAACACAAGTAAAGTGCTCATCCCAAATAACTCTTACACAAAACCATAAAGGGTTAAGATTGAGTCGATTTAGGAAAACTTTGTTTACTTGTTGCATTGAAGGGAATAACTGTTTTGAGTTCTTCAAAAGTTATTCTGATAATATATGTATAAACATACACATATATGTAAGTCATACATATTGTCAGTTAAAGAGAGAGTCTAAAGATTGAACTTCAGATTCTAATGTTCAACAATGTCACATAAGAACTGAAATAAAATTGTTAGTTTTCTTTTTAACATTAGCGACAGACGAAGTTCACAATTCTATGGCAACACGAATTTAGAATCTTACTAAAATCATCTTTCGTACATGAAAACAATCAATTAATTTTTGGGATTATTTCAGTAAAAATTATATTTTTAGCATAAATTGACTTGGTAATGTTTGTTTGAATCTTCCCATTGATGTTTAGGACTGCAATTGATCAGTCTCTTATTGGCAAATGTGCATACCGTGGGTGTTGACACGATACTGCCCTAATTCAAAAGCATTATAAACAAAGATGGATAGTGGCTACATGTGAAATCCTGGATGTGTGTTTCATCCTTTTGGAAGATTCGAGTGAACGATACCAAGTGAATTTAAACTCCAACCTGTTGCATAAGCAAGTGGCTATCAAAAATCAGTAGTTAAGTGGATAAGGCGATAGTGTTTGGAGCGAACGGTATTGGGTTCAAGTCCTGAAGTGAACGCCAACTCTGCGATGCAGGCACATCCAGCTGACGAGTCCCATATAGGACGGAACGCGCGTCCTGTATTTCAGTGCTAGCCATCAACCATTTTTATGTTGTTAACACTTCGAGATAGTATATTTAAGTGATTTTTTAGTGTAAATTCCCCATAGGTGAAATGTTTACTTATCCGTAAATTGTTATTTATCATATCTTTGTATTTTGAATACTTGTATTCTTTTTTTCATTTATTCAGCTCTTTTTTCATTGTATTGATTTACGACATCAAATAAAGTTATGATTGAATATTGACATACAATTGTTGGTATTCTCGTTGTTTATAACGCTATACATATATATATATATATATATATATATATATATATATATATATATATATATATATATACCTAATTATAACACTTGACAATGATTCATATATCTTTGTTTGAACTAAATCATATCTAATTTAATTTACTTTTTATGAATTATTACAATCATAATTTGACTATACTAAACAAACTGAATAATGTAAATATGTAGTGTATGCTACTTATGTTGATAGATATAAGTAGTAGTTAACACAAATCAGAAGCAAAATCCCCATCAAAAGAGGATAGAAAAGATGGAATTGAAGAGAATCGAAAAAAGAAACATAGAGGAATTAAAATAGAGACAGAATTGTAAGTATCATGAAGAATTTAAGCGACAACTGATGAATGATGTTCAGATAAAATTTTTAATGTATGATTTCTATACCTTATAAATACGCTATAAATTGTTTTTCCCCACCTGAATGTTCATTTACTACAGATATACCGTGAATAATTGACAAATTAAAAGAGATCCATTGCTTAGTTACAATAATATAAATAAACTTTAATTTTTTTTAAAGAAAATTAGTACTACTATTTACTTTCAAAACGAATATTTCATCTATAATACAGAGTAATGATAATAAGTAAAAGCTTATGGTATGAAACCGACAACTCGATATTAACTATGAATCACTTTCATTATTTACTTTAATTGTATTCATTATAGACCTATATTTTGAAGAACACTATTAATTTTGGGTTTGACTTTTTTTGATATAGTAACATAACAACACACAGTACACACTTATATATCCCATTGAGTTGTTATTCAAATGTTGATAAAAACAATTTTGGATCGAATATAGAATTAGTATCACACTAGAAAATCAAATATAAAATGCTCATAAACAACAATAAATATTCTTGCTATGTTAATCTGTGATTAGTTATTCTCGAAAGTTGTTTGAACACAATAAATTTAATAAATTGTAAATATCAATATTTTAAAACCATTAGTCCATTTTATAAATTTCGATAGAACTATGAGAAGACGTAGATGATTTGAAAAAATGTGATATATTTGAGCTATACATTTCCAACAATCTGATTACACATATAATTCTCAGGGTATTTTTATATGAAAATTAATCAAAGTCAATTAAATGAAAGTTCAGGTAAGTAAAGGTAACAAACGGAAGAGAAACATTTTACATCGTATAGAAAGAATAAGATTTTGTGGCGTTATGATTCAGTGAATTGTTTGCATAGATTCTCAAGTTATTCAATTAATTTTTATTTGTCAATAAAAAACTTGATTATTGTGTACATGTAGTTGTAAAGCTTGATAAAAATCAAATATTTATTGTTGTTGTTGTTGTTTCCATTCTAAATGTACATAGTCACTTAAAACAATCATACTTAGTTCCTTTAGTCGCTTTAAGTATCATATTTGTGAAACTACTGGTTATTTTTTCGTGTATAACAATCATCTTACGTGCATTGAATGAAGTAATACTATTATACCTTTAATTGTAAGCATGTTTTGCTCAATAGTACTGGAATGTAATTTATATACAGTATGCTCATATGATAAAAAATCATGAACAGTTTTTTACTAAGTCAGAACACATTTTATTTACATTATTTAAGTAATATTATTATGAATAATGTAAGCACCAAAACATGAAGATACCTTGACAACAAGTGAGTTTTTTAGAAACAAATGTAAAAACAACCAATCTTTATAGATGGTGTAGGTTATTATAAATATTCTTCCTTGATAAAACCAAAGCAGTGTTCCTTAAATGGTAATGCCAATGAACTCTTGGTCAAGTAAAAATTTGTGAAAAATTTCATTTACTATTCGGTTGACTAGTTGAGAAAATGAATGTCTACAACGTTCATAAATCGATCTGATATGAACAATAATAATTTAAGTATTATTTAAAATGTCACTTGAAGTATTAGATGGAAGCATGAAAGATTAAAATCATGAAGACTCTTAAAATTTTGAATGCTTTTAAGGTAGAAAATTCAACCTTTTTGATCTACATGCAAACGAGTTCTAACAAATTCGATTTTCATTTGAATTAAACTCTATGTGAACAAATTCAGTACTTTGATTATAAAATGAACTGAATCGACTTTAAAGACTATGTTACTTAATATAAAATTTGAAAAAAATATCTTTGGGAAATATGAAAATAATTCAATAACGCATACAAATCAACTTACTCATTTGGTGTCATATTTGGTTGTACAAAAATTAAGTTACATATAAATGTTGATATAATGTAAATGTTAAATTCCATTTTAATAAATCTCTTCGATATAACATTTACCCACATATTTATTTGACCATCACTTTTATGTAGTCACAATATTACGCTGAAAATTTACTCAGAATCTTTGAATGAACCAATATATCCGAACACTGACTTTTCTATTTTAAATAAGAGATAGGACTTTTATTTGATTGTGTGTATTGTTATGAATAATGTAGACGAATACTTTATGCATATGAGAACTGAAAACTTTCCAAAAGGTGGAATTATCTTATTTAATTGAATTACACTTAAAATACAACAGTATAAAGTTTATTTTCATTGGTTGACTTGATCTGCATTCTGATTGGTTGATTGAACATCAATGTTATGTCAACATGCAAATGAATAACTTCATAAAAATATTGAAATAAATAATTCTTCATTTCATCAGTTTTAGAAAGAAACAGTTTTACAAAAGTTATGAAATCACCTTCATTTGATTTGTGACAATTTTTGAATAAGATTCTACAGGAAAAAAATTCCAACTTAAACATATAGAAAACGTTTAACGAAGGAATCACTTTTCTATGGATTTATTATCAAGATGTACAGTTGTATATACATATCTTAAAATTCTTTAAGTAGCGATTTCGTGAGGATATGATGACGTAATTGAAAGATTATAATACTACATGGTGTAACGTAGGTGATAGCAATAAGACATTGTGTTTACACGAATGAAAAGTTTTGTAAATTTTATGAGTCAACAACGAATTATAATGTAAATGGAGATAATTTATAACAATAATAATAAATAATTAAAACAATTTCGTTGCGATACTTTAAAGATAATAGAGTGGTTAGCTGAAATGAAGTGACATAGAAGACAATTATAAATGAATTCATGGTTATATGGGATATTTTCAAACACGAAATATAATAATAATAATAGTTCAAGGTCTTGGTAACGATAAGGATATGACGAACTTGTTTTGAACACACAGTTCTGTTTTGATCTCGTAGATGATAAAAACTTCTGTTGTTTTGAGAAGTAGGATATTAGGAAATCTAAGTAGATTTAGATAAATTATACGAACAGGCTCAAAATGAACCTATGGATCAGTGAAGTAGTTTGAATCGATTAGATGAAGAAGATTGGGACTCTGATGCCACTCAATAGTCTCATACACATTATGTATAAGTAAATAACAAATGGGTTTCTTTTATGAGGTTTCATTGCTCAGTATTTGCTGCCCATAATACAAATGTTCGTTTGTTTCATTGTTTTAAAAATTAAATTCTATCACAGATCATGACTGCAAATTAGTTTTGTAAATTAATATTCATTTAGAAGCTCTTTCTTAACTATTACAATATATTTGAGAATATTTAAACATTCTTTTCAAATAAAAATCAAAGCGCTTTACCTGATTTCATTTATATTAGAATGGTAATGATTGTGATTAACAATACAATGCAGTGAATTCAAAACAAGTATACTCAAATCATTATCTTGTATTTCCCAATATTCTTCCGAATGATAACACATTTCAATAAACCCCCTAAATGTTTTCATAACTTTCACTATTTTTTTTTAATTGTATGTTTAAATAGTTTATTAAATCCTTATCTCATTTCACTATTTCTTACTTAATTTAAAACATTTCCAGTATTACGTAATCTTTATGCGAACAAACAATAGGATAAATAACGGTATCATAATTTCTCCTAATTTATATTACGTTTAATTACTTTAAATTGAACTATGAAACAGTATTAACTGCATAATACAACATTTAAAAACGCTAGTTATTTAATAGTACAAACAAATCTGAATTCATATATTGTAATTTGAAAGATATATTTCCCGTTCCTTTCGATCATTAATTTGAATTTATAATTACTAAATTGTTAACATGTACGTTCTTTATTGAAATATTTATGATGGTTTAACATCAATCGGTTCATGATCTCAATCAAAAACCTATTAATCTCCACAACCCTTAAACTGAGAATTGCCATGTGCTCACTAGTGACTAGTTTCGTGAGAAAATTCTCGGAGTTCTGTTGAGAAGCTGTGACCAGTGGAGCTAATTTGCATCGGGTAGAAACAGGTGTCTACCTCAGTACGATGGAAGATGGTCGCGCAATTTCGTCGATCGGTTGATGTTAGACACTAACGCAATTGGATGCCAGCTCAGTGGTCCAGTAGGTTAAGCGTTCGCATGCGAGACTGAAGGCCCTGGGTTCGAATCCCACAAGCGGGATCGTGGACGCGCACTGCTGAGGAGTCCCACAATAGGACGAAACGGCCATCCAGTGCTTCCAGGTTTCCAAAGGTGGTGGCCTAACGTCAATCGGTTCATGATCTCAATCAAGAAATATTTATAGTTTGGTATGATGGAATCATCATAAATAAAAGAATATTATAAATTAGAAAAATAATGATTCCCATCTACCCTATACTTTGATGTTGAAGTAAACAATAAAATGAGAAAATAATTTAGAACTATTAATACTAACGTCAAGGCAGTTCTACTGTATGGAGCTGAAACTTAGACAATTACTACAACCACCATCAAGAAGGTACAAGTATTTATAAATAGCTGTCTACGCAAGATACTCAACATCCATTGGCCGGATACAATCAGCAACAGCCTACAGTGAGACAGAACAAGCCAGCTTCCAGTTGAAGAAGAAATTAGAAAAAGACGGTTGAAATGGATAAGACATACATTACGCAAACCGTCAAACTGCATCATGAGGCAAGCTTTAACTTGGAATCCTGAAGGGAAGCGGAAAAGAGGGAGGCTGAAGAACACATTACGTCGGGAAATAGAACCAGCTATGGAAAGGATGAATGACAACTGGAAGTAGCTGGGAAGGATTGCCCAGGACAGGGTTGTATGGAGACTGCTGGTGAGCGGCTTATGCTCCTTCACGAGGAGTAACAGGCGCAAGTAAGTAAGTAATTTGAAATTTACAAAAATAAATTTCATTTTATTCTCAAATATCAGTCGTACTATATCAACAGCGACAAAATGTAGCTAATGAGATTATTAAGAAATTTATGTTGTAATGAATGTGATGCAGATCATTTGAAATGATTTCAGAGAAATATGGAAATCTGTGCCGAACTATTAGAAAATAGCTTTTGATAACAATCCAATCTGCTGTGTAAATAAAGAATGAAGTAACAAATTGAACTAAGCTCATTACTCAACATTAGTCACAAACGATTATGCTTCAATCTGTTTGAAGAATTTCAAAGCCTTCTGATCACTATTTATCTAATTATATATCCGTTTTCTTTATATTATTGTCGTTCATTGATGCTGTACAAATGTTTGTACCAGTATTTGTAACCATCAAAGCATACCCGATTCACTATGTTAGATTTTAGATTATTAAATCGACAAATGTTGTATCATTTTCTATTATTTATATTTTTTAAGATCTCCATAAAGTAAACAAAAAACCTTTTTCAAAAAAATATGATAATAGAAATTTCAATTATACCATATGTTTCTCAATAATCACGGTTGATATGTACGACAATTGAATAGAATAACTTAAGAATACACATAATCAAGAAGTACAAATTATCTACATATTACAATTCGTTAGCTTCTGTTGGTTGATTCTATCAGCGGTTAATTATTTTTTACGGAAACATTTAGAATTTACCTTCTATTTCAAAATTTAATAAAATCTGTAAAGTATATTTTCAGTAAAAAGGTAACTACCCAATAATGTTGTCTTAATGTAGTACCATAAATTTTAGTTTAGTATAGAACTCTTTTCGGTGGCATATGCTCCATTGGGAGTAACAGGCGTAAATAAGTAAGTAAATAGAAGTCTCGGCAAACGTCGTTTGGTATATGAATAAATATCTCTTTAGAATATATTCAAATTGTATTTATATCAAACTTATTTCAATGATGTTTTCAAAATATAACTTCTTTCACTTATATTCATGCATTAGAGTTTTACTGTGATAGATTTCGATACAAACGCTTTGCCCTCAAACCAGAGAGTTGAAATTCAGTGACTTCGTCAAAAAGCATGACATAATCTATGATAATGGTGGACAGAAACCTGAATTTCGACGTGTTTAGAATTATGCAATTATGAATTCTCACAAGACGTTTAGGTCTTGATGGTAGTCGTTAGTGAGTATATGTTTAGAATTAATTAACACCATTCTCATACGTTACTGAAAAGAATCAAATATAATTAAATGTGTAAATTTTTAGTACTGCAGATGCATAACATCTTATTCAACTTTTATCAATATCATATTTTAGAACATTTACATCCAAAATGCTTCTCAACATGTCACTACTTTAAACAAATTACAAGCAGTGTGAATTGATTTAACGAATTATGTAATCACATTACATTGAGGGGGTAACAGGGTTTATAAATCCTATAATTTGTACTTAAAGAAAATATTTTAAAAAATAGCTTATTAATACATTGTCTTACGGGACTATAATCAACCTCTTGAATAAATGTTTCTATTCCGTTTCTAAATAAAGTAAACTGCGAACGATTTGTTTCACTATAGTTACTTGCGGTCTAAATGATAGAATGTTTACCACGACTCAGTTTAATATGATTTCATATCCACTATTATAAATGAATAACTTTGTTATACGCATGAAATATTCTCTTTTTCATAAAATTCTCTTCCTCAGTGTTTGTTTTTTCTACTTATCTCATCATCTCTCATGGAAAACACAGATATGGTTAAAATTACCATTTCCTTTGATACTTAAGTTATTAAAGATAGGGATGAAAAATAAAGTCATTTATTCATTTTCAAAGATTATAAAATCAACATAAATCGTAAATTGGTTTGTCAAGTGGAATATTTATTGCGTTATCATTATTATCAGAGCATTACTGCTATCATAATCATCATCATTATTATCCTACTTTACTTAATTTCAGTCATCTGTTTATGACACATAAAAAAAAACAAAATGTTTTAATATTCGCTATGTGGCATTATAGAAGCTAGTGGCTATCTGGGCTCAGTAGTGAATCGGGTAACGCGATTCCTTTTGTAGAAAACAGTGCCAGGTTCAAGTCTCTGAGAGACAATCAAGTCTAGAATGAAGGTATATCCAGCTGACAAAGCCCGAAATGGATGAAACGCGCATTCTGGATTTCACTGCTAGCAACCATCATCTATACGTATAATGCTTGTGAATTAAAGCAGTATTGAGGCAATCCACACAGATGGTACATATGTCGATAAGAAACTGATCAATTG